GAAAAGTGGCTTCATCACAACTAATGAATGAAGAACTTTGAATCTTCATTGTATGACATTTACCACTGAAGTTTATCTAATAACTAAAGCCGGAGTAACTCAAGCTAACACTATAACATTTATTGTTTACGGACTTTAAAGTCGTTTCTACAACTTACAGCAAGTGTGCCTCACTGCTAAGTTTTCCTATCGTTTGATCTGACTTGTGCTTTTATGTTGGAGGACGCTTAGAACATTTAGTAAGCGGTTATTTAGCTGGAATCATGTTAGCCAATGTGCCATTTTTCTAGACTGCGTAGAGCTGATTTTCTAGAACTTTGGAAAGGGTTGCTCAGTAGATCTTGTGTTGGATTAAAGGAACTTGTCAGATTTGGAATTTACCAGAGGATCTACCCACAAGGTGGTGGACTATTATAGAAAAGCAGAGTTTTTGATTTGCACTGTGTGGCTATATTTTTAATTTATTAAATACTTAAGCTATATTTTTTTAGGGAAATATTTTGTGGAACGTGAAGGATATTTACACGTGTGTGTGTGTGTGTGTATTGGGAAGTAACGTGCACAAAAGTAATGGATGCTCACTTAAAGCACATGGATTGAAGGTTTTCCCCTCTGTAGTTAGTGAAGTACATTGTGAAAGAATGTAGTCAGTGTGAATATAGTTGTTTCCTTCTGGAACATTTAGTTCATCCTAGAGCAGCAGCTTGGTACATTGGAGTTACTGCAGACAGCACTGACTAATACAACAGCTATTACTTAACACGTGGAAACTTGCCCTTGTCGGCTGCAAACATTATAGAGATGAGTGATGTTTGCAATGACTTATGTATTCAGATGTTGGTGTTATTATGGCATTGATGATAGAGATGCAGTGTAAATGTTTTCATGATCTGGTTTTACATAACTGCCTTCAGTAAGTATTATGAGCATTCATATTTTATATATCACTCATGTATTTTGCAGTCAGCCTTGCTGATCACCCAAGACCACAATAAAAATTATAGCCTTTGATGGGTTTGTACTTATTTGGCTGTAGTAAAAATGGAACTTTAATTTAGCTTTTTTTTGTTTTTGTTTTGTTTGATAGTTCGATTGTAATATGTCCAGTATTTTTTTTATTCCATTTTCAGTTCGTTGAGATTTTATTTGATACGGTTCTACAGTTGGTTCATACCACAGCTGATCCTTATCAACCTTCTTCGAACTCCTGCCCAGGCTCCTCCTGAATAACTTGAGACCTGGAGGAAGTGCACCTGAGCCTGCTTTGGTGGTTTGCAGACTTGCTTATTTTGGTTTCTCCAGATTCACTTTGTACTAGGGAGCAATCATATGGCACTTGTTTCACACTACTTGGGGAACACCTCCTCTACCATTTCTCCCCTGCCCACAACTTCTTCATCATTCTTTGACAAGTACTTATGTATTTCTTTCCTAGTTTAAAAGTAACCATGATGAATATGTGGCCTCTGTTGACCTCTCCTGAAAATGTCAGTTGCCGTCTTATGCTGACCCTCTTTCATACTTCAGTATTTTAGGTTAGGTTTCTAATTCAGAATGAGAATGCTTTTTAAGGATTTGTAATCTATATACTAGTTCCAGCTCAAGGCTCAAAATATTTAAAGCCAGTGAGTCAGTAAAACAGCCAGGTAACTGATTTATCCAAAAGGGAAGTGTAGCATGACAGCTCTCATATTTAATTGGTGACAGTAAGCTTTTTTTCCCTCTTTAGCCCTCAGAGGTACACTCTGACTTAAAGAAAAACCCGTGCTGAAGGAAATATGTAGGCAACTGTTGCTACCTCTCCTACAAATGCAAGTTGACTACAAATCCCACTAACCCTCTTGCTTGAATAGTTTAAATCCATGACACAAAGTAGGTGGAAACAGGGACCTTTTGGTTTTTCTCTGGCTATGCTGAGCTTTATCCTTGTTCCATAAGTCCTAAAAGTACTGAAGTAAGTAAGTCAGCATTACCAGAATAAATCCAGCATTGGCATCCCCTATATTTGTTAAAACAAGACTTTCTTTGCTGACTTTTTCTTTCTGGAAATGCTAGTTGCCTGGATCACTCCAATTCAGTTTTTATATATTTTCCGGTAACTGACTTAACAAATATGCAAGTGTCCTGTCTTTCTTTACTTTTTATGGTCTGGGCCACTGACTTGGTATTAAATGACAGAGACAACTAGGCACCTAGAACTTCGAGAAGGAGGTTGGCAATAGACATACTGGGGGGAATTTATCAAAACTGGAGGGGAGAAAATCTGGAGCAGCTGTGCATGGTAACCAATCAGCTTCTCTCTTCAGTTTGATTTTCAAAGCTTAACAAACCATAGAAGCTGATTGGTTGGCATGCATAACTGCTCCAGATTTGATAAATTCCCTTCACTGTATTTCTCAGTACAAATTTCCTTTAAAAAAAAAAGCCTATATTCCTGTTGATACGGATTTATTTATAACCTGTGCTGCTAATTACATTTCAAGTTTCCCTTTTATAGAATTGTATCTTTTTAGCGCCAGTCTAGACAACATCATAAAAATGGTGCCATGGACTAAAATTACTCTTCTTCCACAGTGAATATCCAAGAGATCAATTCTTCAGAAGAGATTGAGCTCTTGGATTTTCATTGTGGGAGGGTACTTTTTTTGTCTGTAGGTTT